ATAGGATCTTTTTATTACGCACTGCAACTTTAATAAAATTAGTTTGGCATAATCATTTACTTACTGAAATGCTTTTCGCATATATATCCTGGATTGTCATCATAGTTTTCTGCTTGACATTGTATGTTGTTATATTTTCCATTGTTCAGCATCTCTACACATTTTTCTGTTTTAGGATGATTGGGTTCGTGTTCATTCCAACGCCATGTTCCCTTTGCTGTTCCATTTGCTGTTCCAGCGATGCAGGCAACTTTTTTACTCAACCAGCACCACGTTTGAGGTTCTTCAACCCTCTGTAGGCCAATAAACCAACGCGGTGTTTTTTCATCTTGCTCCCCGGCTAAGTTCTTGACAAAATGCCATTCTGACTCGGTTTCCATGGAGACAAGAGAACCACCTTTTTTTTTACAACTGTTCATGGCTACACTCCACTTACCTTTTTCTGTGTGAAAAGTATACTTGGAGCAGATCATGACTCCTGCGTTATGGGAAGCCAACCAAGTGAGGTAAAAAAAAAAAAGAAAATCAAGAAAAATGATCTAAATTTAATCAAAAAAAGACATAAACAGCAGTGATAAACATATTGAACTGGCACATTTTGATTATGACTTGACTTTTCGTATGTACTCGACATACATCTTCAAAAGTAACCGTTGGAATTTGAAACAGCTACGTATATATATAACTGAGGTGAGGGGACTGGAACCAAGATTAAGCATAAAACTTAACAATAAACAATAACACTAGAGCAGATTAATAAAGCAACAGCTTTTCACTTCCGATGTTCACGTTGAAAGCTGGCTCAAGTTCCTGCATGAGTAAGGTCTGATTTTACAATGGTAGTCTGTTTTGCCCTTCGCCAAAATATCAAAATGATCCCACTTGATATTATGTCCAGTGGCTTTGACATGGTAGCAATGGCTGAAGTATTGTCATTTTTCTCATTTTTCGCGAGTTATATACATAGCTGTTTTAAATTTCAACGGTTACTTTTGAAAATGTATGTTGAGTGCATACGAAACGTCAAGTCATAATCAAGATGTGCAAGTTCAATATTTTTATCACTGCTGTTTGTGTCTTATTTTTGATCAACTTACGATGGCCCAAGAACAAAAGCATTTACGATCTAAATTTACTTACAATTATAATTATGTATCATTCAAGAATTAGAAGTAGCAATGAAGAAAGAGAAATGAACAAAAATCCTACTGGTGGAAAAGGAATTGGGTGACGAAATTGAGAATTTCCTGAATGATATCATTTTGAAAAAAAGAAAAAAACCTGCGAGCGGTGGCATCCACTATCTCCCTTCCCTCCTCCCCTTCCCTCTTAAGGATGGTATTCACAGGTTCATAGGGACCCTGTACCAAACTAAGTTAAGATTATAATTTGTCAAAAACTGATAAATTAAATTCAAAATTTAATTTTACTCCAAAACTTCTCAAAAAGTTACAACTGCAAAAGACACGTATTTTCGCAGCGACGGAAAGTCTACACGTCTGCAGTTTCTTGATACCAGTAGGCATACATCTCATTAAAAAATTTACCCCCCACTGAAGGGAAAGGTCTTTATTCTAAGTTTGCATCTGCCTTCGGTGGCGTTAGTCTACCGTTCTCCCTTCTAATAAGGTAGGCTGAAGCCAAGGACTCTAGGCTGATAAAAACAAGTTTGGCGCCTATTAGAAATACACGACCAGCACAGAAGAGACCATGCATCTGAGGAGTATGTACAACGCGTAAATATTTGGTCTGGCATATTTCATTTGGTTGAAATCTAATTTTGACTGAGCGTTAAAGGAGCAGAACTGCGAAGGCTTTTTCCCTTTGCATTTTTCTTTATTTTTTTAGGTCGATGTAGGAATACTTACCTGACCAGTTTTTATAGCTTTTCCGATAGAAACAACGGAACACTACCGACAGCAAGGTAAAAAAACAAATAGAAAAATTAAAATAGTTAAGTAACTGTCAATAATTGAAAAAAAGCATACGAAGCTTACTAGTTCGTAATCTTCTCTTTCTTTTCGTCAAAAGGAGTGAA